GCAGTTTTACGGGTCTTGCTGTAGAGAAATGAGTGTCTTGTGGGGTGGAGGGGTGGCCAGATGCTTCCTTCTAAAAAAGTCTGGTTCAATTCCGCTTTCTAGGAAGTGAGTGGAGATACGTGATCCTGTCAACTGTACGCTCCTGCCCCCGATCGGAGATTGATAGGAAGCCCACGAAGAGCTGGCAGAAGAAGTACCTGGGGTTTGTTACCGACCCAAACCAGGTCAATGTCGGCATCACGCGAGCTCAGGAAGGACTCTGCATTTTAGGTGGGTCTCCTGGGAGCGTGCACAGGCCTGCAGGGGAACAGGATGCTTGGATAAAGGGGTGGGGACCCAAACTAGTACAACCGATGGTCTTTCTTTATCCTTGTGCCCTTTAGATTGTCTGTGGTTTTGAAACTGGGCTATCTGGGCAATCTGTGCAAAGCAGAGATCGTGCATGGCTCGTATGCAGCATGTATAATTAGTTTTTTCTCACCCTCTGGTTCGGACCACGTCGTTTCCGTCACTTGCATGCTAGAGCTCTCTCCTAACAGAATTTGGCTGCTTATTTTCCTCCTAATCATGCAAGCGTAGGCTGTGATGTGTAGGGAAGCTGCTCGCAGATATGACAGCACTGAAAAGGGAGCTGGGATTTCACAGAGCTCTGGCTGAAGGAAATGTCCCTGCAAGTTATCCAGCACCCTTAGGCTAGAAACGTTAGGCAAAAGTTTCTGTGACGGTATCGTCCTAGCCTCTTCTGGCCGCTAACCCGCTGCCCCCATCCCTGTGCCAACAGGGAACCAGTACCTCCTGGAGTGCAACCCTCTGTGGAGGAGACTGCTTCAGCATTACAGACAGCACAACTGCTACACTGCAGCCCAGGGGATTTTTGTCAGGAAGACTTCAGCCTTCCGCCGATGAGGACGGGTTGTACCTCGATGAGCTCGTCCCTCTCTACCTGAACTGCGTTACGTGTGCCTTGGGAAGGACGCAATCTTTCCATTATTTAATGACCTGTGGAGCCAAATGCAGCGGGGGAGCCGGGATCTTCCCCTGCACAGTGACAGCTCAGCTTCAGTGCGTGCTTTGGCATCGGGGGGTTTTTTTAATCAGTGCAACCTTGGACAGGAACTTTCAGCTCGAGCAAACCAAAAAGCATTGGAAATGGATGGATGGGTGTGTGACTTTATTAACGACGATACTATTTTTTTTAACTGGAAGACGCTCAGCGGAGCCCCCATCCTTTCTGCCAGTGCAGCTGCACCTTGGGGACCAAATATTCAGTCCATTCATCGAGGGTGGAATGACTGCGCGCAACGGAGCCGCGCAGCAAGCTGCGATTTGCCATAGAGGACCAAAGCTTCTGAGTACTACCACTCATTTTAAAACCAAGGCCAGGGAATTTTTAAGGCTTCTCATTTCTCAAAGCAGAAAAACAATTTTTGTTGTTGTTGTTTTGGGTTTTTTAAGTGAAGGAAGAAAGCAAAGAGAGAACCACGTACCACTCTTTGTCTAACCAAAATGCTGTTCTCTGAGCATGTAAATACCACAAAGCCAAGGCCAAGTTGATTTTGTAAATAGATTTACTTATTCTTTGTACAAAGGAGGTTGTCCTCACCAGTATAAGGTTAATGAAAAGCGAGGACCGCTCCTACCAGGAAACGTTGGAATTTGTAAGCATATTTTAAACTGTTCTGAATTTTATTTGAAATCTCCTCCTGTAAGAGCCCCCCTTTCCTATTTTTTTAAAGCTGCTTCTAATTTATTAACTTTTAACTCTGTGAATTTGTTTCACAGTCTTATGGCCTGAGTTTTTAAGAGCGGTGATGGAAATTTGATAAATGTACCACAGCATATATGTGTATAATGTATTTTTTTTATTTTAAGTAGCCAAACTGCTGTGAACTGGAAGCTGTGATTCACTAGAGAAGGCTGCTTTTGCCGGTAACGTATGGCTGATACAGATGTATAGTGGCGAAGTGGTGCTCTCTGCTGAATCATGGAGCTGCTTTTTGAAGCATGATAGTTTTGAGGGAGGGTGTCTTTTATCTCATATCAATTCTGAATGTATGAAGTGCCTGCCTCAGCTCTCCCCCAAGACCACACGCTTGGCTGTCTCTAGATGTTCATGTGGGATGGAGCCAAGATGCAATCACAGTGGTTTTGCACCAAGTATGTACTGTGCCGGCACACGAGTCCTCCTTGGCGTGAGTGAGGGGTCCCCGTGACTTCACAGCACTACGGCAGGGATGAATTTTGTCCTGTGATTGCAACTGAAAATGCAGCGTGGCTCTTTCCAGTGTGGAGGAATGTGCAATAAGAAAGCCTTGTGTCTGGAAAAGTCCTTCTTTAACGCTGTGTTTCTTCTCATGACTCTGTGTTAGACTTGACCCAAGAACCTATGGAGAAATTTTGTTGTTCTCTTCCTTATTTTAAACTACCTTCCTGCACGTCTGCATTTGGTGGGTTTGATCCGTACACTAGAGACCACCCAGGCTTGCTCTTGTCTTACTGAAGCGTAATAACGGGCATATGGCTGGCGATTCCGTAAGGGACAAAAGCCCGTAGGAAGTAACTCCTGCTGGTTCTAAAGATGCTTGATAAAAGCTGGTAAGATGTTCCTCTTTGAAGTCATCCCAGCTGGGATCTCAAAGATTCCGCGCCAGCCTGATTTTGCAAATAATATTGCAATTCCAAAATAAGCTTGTATGGGAATCATTTTGTGGACTACTGAAATGCAATCATGTATCTCCAGGATGACGTGGAGAACTGCAAAAGGTGCTGGAATTGTTGGGAGAAATACTTTACCATGGTGCCAGCACCATTCTAACAAAGTCATCTTGGTCCCTTTAGAACCAGTGGGTCTCATTTTCACGATCTAGTGTAAGTGAAGAGTCTCTCTCCTGGTTGTTATTTTTTTTTTAATGGTTATTTCATTACATGTAACACAAACAAGGAGACACCCCAAGTGTCGTGGCTTAGTCCAATGCTCTTGTGTGCGGTTTGGCCATATGTTTGTGTAGACCAAGAAAGAGACCTCACAAAGCATCTCCCTTTGCCCTCAGCGGGGAAAAAATGTTTACTGCTGCTCCTTGGAGGGTAAAGACTAGACTGAAATGCTTTGCTTGGTCACCTCTGTGTTGCAAGACAATATACATCTTTTTTTTTCCTCCGAAGATGCATTTTGTAACTGCGTTGAGAAAATGGTGCCCTAGACCACCCAGCCAGGCTGGACTCTTGGGCTGACTGGGCTGCGAGCAGGTACCTGTAGAGTTGGTCATGCAGCTGCAATAGTCAGGGATAGCAGAAAGTGCAATTAATCAAACTTTTTATAGACTGTTAGAGACAGCTGAGCATCGTGTTCTTGTCCTTATGCTCATGGAGAGAGAGAATCATAGAAATTAATAGAGAAAAGAAGTTCAAAGTAGTCCAGTTTCGTTTGCACACAGAGCTTTGAATTTACTTTTGAAAGAATTTTATGTTCAAGCACATATTCTTAAAATACTTACAAAAAAGGCAAACCTTGGGTAATTCCGGTAGGAAACCACTGGCAGCGTGGTGCACAGGGTATCTGTCCGATCACAGGCTCTACGTTTTCCGCAGCTCACAGACAAAAAGAACGTTGTTGCAGGACACGAAGGTCGGTTCATCCAGCAGGGTAACTTAATTTCCTCGGCACTAGCTAGAGCTTGAGTCCAAGCTGAACAACGGGAACCTGCGCCCGCGGCAAGCGGTGTGCCAGGCGTCAGCCTGTGACGGGCCGCGTGGTTGCAGCCATCGCCCTGCATCCTGCTCGGCCTGGCAGTGAAATTACAGACATCCAGAACTAGGAAACCTCTCCTTGGCTCCAGCTGGCAAAGGAGAAGCCCACTGGACTGTTTTAGAGGATTTGGACGGATCTGTGTAGGACAATCAATTTACTGCAATAAATTGTTGGGTTTTTTTTAAAATAGAAATGAAATGTTAAGTGTCATGAAGTGTAAATTAAGGAACTTCTAAATGTGGCGGGTTTTTATCTTTTGTATATCTGTGACTTGCAGCAAACCTCAAATGACATTTTGGATACAAATATTTTTACCTGCTTCTACCGTTTATAAGACTGAACCTCAACATTCCTTTTTTGATATTTAAGCCATAATTGTAAAAATGATTTGAATTTATTTAAATAATAAATTTTATTACTAAAAGGTCCGTTTATGTGATGGTTTGACTAGAATCTGTGTGGGGACGGAACTGATAGATATTTGGACTGAACCAAATGGTAAAAAAGAAAATGAGCGTTAACTGCAGTACATGGCAGAAAAGATTGTGTTCTACATATTGGTCGCGTGGATGTAATACCCTTCCCTGTCTGTTGTGGGGGCTTGGGGAGGTGGTTGGGGGTTTTTTGTTGTTGGTTTTGTGTTGGTTTTGTTTTTTTTTTTAATCAGAGTGATCTTTTCATGCACTGTAGAGGGGTGAGCACAAAATCACGCTTAGGTACCTGTAAGGCACAGGGTGTAGAGCGTGAGAGGAACCAGAGATGGAGGTAAGTTAGGGTGAGTGATTTGAAGACCTTAGGATTCAGTTCAGGTGTTTCGGAGGAAGGACATGGGGGGGGGAAGGAATAACTTGGGGTAAAAAAACCCAAAACAACATCATTGTAACACGCTGGCACTGGGCATCTTTCGGTGGATGGAAAGCACTGGATGCTGGAGATGCTTCTATCTCCTGTGCTTTGCATCCCAGGTGTCCTGCAAGGCTGCCTGCTTCTAGCTGCTCCCACCTGTGAGTTCTGGCAGCGGGAGGTGAGTGTTGAGTCCCGAATGCTGCCTAAGGATGTTATTTTGTGTGAGAAATTTGGAATGGGTTACTGTTAACCTGGAAAGATTTGGGGAAGGCGCTTGTAAAATGGTTGTTGAAAACAGAACGAGTTCAGTTTTACGCAAAATGTTTAAAAATAAGGTTTACCTTTAATTTTTCTCATTCATCTTTTTCAAATGGATAAAATGAGAAGAACGTTCTTGCGTGCCACCTCATCCTTCTGGTGCACAAGCGCTGCTGTCCGCGTCTTCAACAGCGTTAGTTTTTGTCTTCAATGTAATGCTGTCACGCCATTTTTCAAAGACAAGTGTGTGAGTGTCTGATCTTCTAATTGTGAATTCGTATGATCTGCCGGGCTGCAGGTCCTGGACTACGTATGTGTTGGAGGTGACTACCTGACTCCTACCGTATCCCGGTTCTGTCTGACTCCCGTTTGTCAGTAACTTAACTTGCAGTTCGCATTGTTCGAGGTGTGACTCTTGATTTTCAGTAAACCACTTGAGCTTGGCCCAGTTCTTGTGTGCAAATGATTCTTTCCGATCAAAAATCAGTGGCATCTTTGTACAGAGAGAAAGCCTAATGTTGGGGAGTCTAGTACCTCTAAGATCTGCATGTGACACCAAACGGTGCTTGACGTAGAGCTTTCCTGGCACTTGCAAGGAAACGAGAGTTTCCATAAACTCGGAGAGCTTGGATAGTCTCTGCATAATCAAGTCCCACCGGGAGAGGAAAGTTATCATGTCAGAGGTCTCTACGTAACAGCTCAGCTCCTCCTGACCTCGTTCCAGCTGTTCTAACAGCCCAGTTAAAAGCGACAGCTGGATTTCAGTCTGGTTTTTTCCCACCGTCTTCATCCTCTGGAACTGGCAGGGGTCTATGAGTTGCAAGATGTCAGTGCGATGCATCACGTGGTTCTGGTCTCTCACGTTCACATGTTTGGGCTCAATCTCCAAGTAAAAGCGACACTTCTTCAGAAGCTCAACTTTGTTCTGGTGGTGCTGGAGGTGGTGGCGGCTCAGGCTGGAGTGCAGGAACTGCAGAACAAGGCTTCTCCTTTCCAAGTACCTCTCCCAGCTGGCACTGTCCTGTTGTTCTTCGCTGTGCGCAGTACTCTCTGAACTGGTTTCAAACTCATTCAAAATCACAGCCATGATTCCAAAGCTCAGTTGCTGTGTAAGAAAGCAGCAATAACAACATTAAGAACCACAGGAAAAGCAGCTGTGAGGGAGTATAATCATGGCTGTGACTCTTCTCTGCTCTCTTAATTAAAGCTTAGCTTATATATTTATAGATGGGAAAGAACTGTTAGACTAGATGTAGTTCCAGAGGAATTTTCCCTCATAGTTGCATGGTTTCTAATGTTTTGTATAGTCTTTTATATATTCCAACCAACTGGTCTCCTGCTACCCCACCCTTGAGAGGTCCTACCTCTGCTTAATAGATTCACTGTCAGGAATTATTCTCTGTTATACTCTGCCAAGATGTCTCCCTATCTTACTATCTTCTGTTTCATTCTAATTAGGTGCCTTTGTACTCCTGTAAGCAATTTCTTTCCATTCTTCTACATCTCTGGAGATGTCTATTTTTCTCTCTCTGTAATCTGCCAGGCTGTTGAGGTTTGAGACCCATCTTCTAAGCCAGTTCCTACATCTACATAATCACCTTGGTGATTCAAATTAACCCTCTGCCCCCCCAGGCGAGGCGGTATGCAGCAGGCAGAACCATGCCATCCGCTGAGTGCCACCTTACAGCAGTGTTCAAGAGGAACGCTAGCGTTTTTCCTTGCACCTCTACACCTTCAACAGTGCATTGACAGTCATAACCTGACAACGTTTTCAGTGATGTGTTGCTTTCCCTTTCTTTGGTTTTAGTTTACATTATCACCTCGGCCCATGATATCTACTTGCTTTCTTGTAGCAGAACGCTGTTAGTCTATAAACAATGTACAGTGAGAGGATGAAACACATGTAAAGCACCTGTGAACAGGTAACGGTTTGCTGGTAAGAGGGTGTTGAGGTAGTGGTCCTTTGCGATGCTGTATCTGCTCTCTCTTAGTCTTAGCTGTTTCGTTTACGGACAAAGCCGTGCCCTGGTTGGTGGTGCCTGCTGAGCCAAGATGGAAGGTGTCTCTCTGTTGTGCTCTAGCTGAAGTACCTGTGGCTCACACAGCTTATGTATCATAAACAGAAATTAGCTAAATAAATGCCTGTGTCCCTGTCGTCGGTGATACTGTAATGAGAACCCAGCTTGACGTGGAGAACGTGGCTTTCACAAGCTGAACACGCTTGATTTGAAAAAGAAATACGTCATTCTGAAAGTAAGATTTTGTGACCCCAGTCAGACTGCGATGATACGCTCTACAGCAGGTAACTTTCCTCATTCTGTGTAATTTCCTGTTTATAACTTTTTAAGTTCTTGTAGTATCTAACTGGGATATTTTAATTCTTAAATGTCTTGTAGAAGCTAGATGGTGATATCTCGTTGACAAAGCAATTTTTCTTAGCCTCATTTTCCCTAAATACATAACAGAACTAATAACACTTCCTCGTAGGAATTCCAAGCATTTATAAACCTTTCAGATGTCTGGCCCCTAGCTGCACTACAATTTATACTAATTCACTCATTCACAGCAACTTTTTTTTCCAAGGGAGCTGTCAACTTAAAAAACAAGCTCTATTTCCTTTTCACTTTTTTTCTTTCCACAAAAAAAAAACAAACCCCAAAAAACCAAAAAACCCCAAACAACCCAGCCCTAAACCAAAGCAGTGCCAGTTCCCGGCATCCCCGTATGGAGTGCAACAGGGACAGCCCATGCACCAGGTTACATTACCCCGCTTTCAGAGCGATTTGGCTCTCCAGAGCCATCTGTTTGCCCACAGAGCGAGCTGTGATTGTGCTTGTTTTCCCTGTCTGTTTTTATCTCTATCTTTTCCTTTTTTCCTTGCCAGAAACGGCTGTATTCCCAGTAGCGCCTCTACATTTGCTGCCTGGGAGGCTGCAGTTGCACAGGCCCCGGGCTCGCCCAGGGTTTTGGAGGGGTGGAAGGGGGCACCCACGGGAGCCGGAGCCACCCCAACGCCTTCCGCGGCTCAAACCCAGCCCCTCATCCCGGGGCAGCCGCCTCCTCACGCTGCCCCGGAGTGGGGTACAAGCCCTGGCCCTTCTGGCAGGGCCGAAGGCGGCCCCGGCCTGCCTTACCCTGGCCCCACCGAGCCCCGACCCA